CAACTCCAACTCCACTCCAACTCCATTTCAACTCCACTTCAACTCCACTCCAACTCCACTCCAACTCCCTTACAACTCCACTCCGACTCCACTAAAACTCCACTCCAACTTCACTCCAACTCCACTCCAACCCCACTCCAACTGCACTCCAACTCCACTCCAACTCCCTTACAACTCCACTGCGACTCCACTCAAACTCCACTCCAACTTCACCCCACCCCAAGTCCAACTCCACTCCTCTCCAACGCCACTTCAACTCCGCTCAAACTCAACTCCAACTCCAGCTCCACTCCAGCTCCACTCAAACTCCACTCCACCCCCACTCCAATTTCAACTCCACTCCAACTCCACTCCAACTCCATTTCAACTCCACTCCAACTCCACTCCAACTCAACTCCAACCCCACCCCAGCTCCACTCCACTCCAACTCCACTTCAACTCCACTCCAACTCCACTTCAACTCCGCTCCAACTCCACTCCAACTCCACTCCAGCTCCAAGCCCACTCCAACTTCACTCCAACTCCACTCCAACTCCACTCCAACCCCACTCCAACTCAAATCCTCTCCAACGCCACTTGAAGTCCGCTCAAACTCAACTCCAACTCCAACTCCACTCCACCCCCACTCCAACTCCATTTCAACTCCACTCCAACTCCACTCCTTTCCAACTCCACTTCAACTCCGCTCAAACTCCACTCCAACTCCATCCACTCCACCCCCACTCCAACTCCACTCCAACTCCACTCCAACTCCACTCTAACCCCACTCCAACTCCTCTCCACTCCAACTCCACTCCAACTCCAATACAACTCCACTCCAACCCCACTCAAATTCCACTCAAATTCCACTCCAACTCCAACCCAACTCCACCCAACTCCAACTCCACTCCAACTCCTCCAACCCCACTCCAACTCCACTCCAACTCCACTCCTTTCCAACTCCACTTCAACTCCGCTCAAACTCCACTCCAACTCCATCCACTCCACCCCCACTCCAACTCCACTCCAACTCCACTCCAACTCCACTCTAACCCCACTCCAACTCCTCTCCACTCCAACTCCACTCCAACTCCAATACAACTCCACTCCAACCCCACTCAAATTCCACTCAAATTCCACTCCAACTCCAACCCAACTCCACCCAACTCCAACTCCACTCCAACTCCTCCAACCCCACTCCAACTCCACTCCAACTCCACTCCAACTTCACCCCACCCCAAGTCCAACTCCACTCCAACCGCACTCCAACTCCACTCCAACTCCTCCAACCCCACTCCAACTCCACTCCTACTCCACTCCAACTCCAGCCCCACTCTAACTCCACTCCAACTCCACTCCAACTCCAACCCAACTCCACGCAACTCCAACTCCACTCCAACTCCTCCAACCCCACTCCAACTCCACTCCAACTCCAACCCAGCTCCAGCCAACTCCACTCCAACTCCACTCCAACTCCAACCCAGCTCCAGCCAACTCCACTC